GTCTGACGCGTCTGCCTCCGCGACCCGGAAGGAGAAGCGGCGATGGAAGATGAAGATGAAGATGAAGTTCTGAGATACTTGAAATGGTCCAATCCGTCAATCGTAATTCATTTTCCAATGTCATTGGTCCAGTGGACTCCGTCATAATCTTCCTGGCGTTAATTCGTGGCCTCATCTCAATAGTAGTATTATATATGCTTTAGGTGAGTATCAGTAGGCGACTTGCGGAGTCACTTAGCAGCACGTTGTCAACGGTATACTTAACGTCAGTCGAGAATACAGCCGGATATCTCAAGCTGGTCGCTGAGGTAGGTCAATCTCTTAATGTTGGACGACGCTCTTGGGCGTAACATGGTCGGCCCTGATATTAAGCAACAATGAAAAGAATCCCGCTCTGTCGAACTCCACTGGTGAACCTTCAGTCAAAATGACGCACTTTGCCCCTTCGTGCGGACTTTCTATTAGGCATACCAACGTCCGTGGAATTCCCTAGTGACTTAAAACAACACATCGTCTGACGACGAACTGAATCGAACGCAACCCTGAAGTCCAGAAGCGAAACTTGCCAGGGAAGTCGAAAACTCCGGCACTGCTCAATAAGTCGATTCAGCAGAAGGATGTTGTACACCTACACACGAGTCTGCGCTGAAAGCCTCTTCAACTTGTTCATAGTGAGTCGCCTATGGCCTCCTTCAACTTTCCATGGGGAATCCGCACAAAGCCCCTCTTCAGCGCATTGCGGAAAGATAATTCCTCGACAGTTGAGGAAATTGGTGTTACTCCTTTATTTGAAAATTGGGATAATCATGCCTTTTCCTGGTCTTCCGCCAACTGCTACCGAAAAGCAGGTGGATTCACTTGAAGGTTTTCTCTTGCGTACTTCAGGAACTTCGCATAATTCCAATTTGGAGCTCCTACAGAGACGTATCACTACTCAGATTTTTTTCATAGACTGTGGGGCGCAATTTACATCCATGCATTATCTATTGTCCTCTTTAACCTCAAGATCTACTGCAGGTCAAGGTCTTTTAACTTGTTTGGTCCAACATTTTTAGCGGCCACCTGGGTCTGGAAGCAGCGCATTGTACGTGCTGTGTCAGAACCAAGTAAGCGACAGTGTTCACCTGGCAATACAGTATCTTTCAGTTGCATTTCACTACGATCTTTTATGGCTTCAGCGCTTTTTGGATCCACTCATCGCTGTCTGTCCTTGCGCTAGCTCTTGCTGACAGCTTTCACGAGACAGCGGTACTCTCCATTCTTCGCTTTGTAAGAACAATGTTATAAGGTCTTCTTTGTCACATTTCTTTCATGGCGAAAACATAATAGATTACTCATTACTCAGGAATGCTTCATCTTCCTGCTCCTGAAACCAATGGCCTTGGTAGCGGTATCGACGATGTTACCTTTAAGTCGACTACAGAACAGCTCCGGGTCTTGGGAGATAATAACCCCGTGCATGGCAGAGAATTTTCGACTGATATCCTTTAGGAATTGCTTGTGAGGGATCGTATCGATTAAACTCTTTGTATCGTCGCGAGTGTCTCCCTCCTCTTCCAAGAAAAAAGCGCTGCTTCATGACCACTAAGAAATGGTCGGTTCCGACGTCCACATTTCGTTTCGTCTGAGTGTCTTGAAGGAACCTCGCCATTTGTAGCTGAGTAATCTCTCTGGCGTAGGAAGCGATCTTCCGGTGTCGTTCACGGTGGCAGTTGCGAAATGCGGAAACTGAGTCCCGGTGATGACGATTCCGTGCGTGATGCAAAGATCTACCAACGGCTGGCCGTTGCTTTAGTAGCACCCAGCATGTGGAACCAGCTATGATCGGCACCGACCTGAGTATTGAGGCACCGACGATCATCGATAATTGGTATTGTGAGGAAAATCCAAGAACCGCACGAAGGCTACCTTTAAATTGGGCCTTCATTGGGTCTTTGAAACACTGGTACAGGC